ATATACTCCAAACCATTGGACATAATATCTTCTTGACCTAATATCAACAATGTGACAAATTGTTATCTTCTAGTAGAATTTGTTTCAACAAATCAAGAAATTTTGTGAAACTTTTGTCCTATCACCCACTTTTTGTCTTCAGATTAAATAATTTTAACAATGCAGACAATCTTGTAAAACTGGTGCACCCCTTATATTAAGGTGCATCCTTATAAATATATAAAGTATCATAAATACGGGCTTGCATAAAAGACAATTCTCCAATATCACGAATCATATCTTCTAGTCGATCATCCATATTTTCATCAACTTCATCCATTTGTGACGTCACATTTCGATTTTTATCCATTTCTCCATCCCACATCCATGTTGTATATTTTTGACATATTCCATCACATCATAGGTGATGTAATATTTCTTCCTTTGACTATTTTTTTGATATTCTCACAACTAACACAAGGACAATTAAAGAGACCATTATTGTCGAGAAGAATTTTTTTTTTTTGTGAATTCAAAGAATTCAAGAACTCTTTTCTCATACATCGATTATAATCTATCGGCTTTCATCCAACTAGGATACATAACAAATTCTAAAATTTATATCAAAAGACTAATGTGAATGGCACACTAATGCTACACACATAACATACTAATATGGTTATATGCATACTAATATATCTATCACAAAAATATAACACCAAAACCTAAATCATATTCATAACCACATTTATTTCTTCATTTGCAATAGAGTTATAACAACAAAACAAAAACAAAAATAAAAACATAACCTTATAAAAATAAAAACATCACAGTGCAAGAACACGACACATGACAATATCACATAGCCTTATGACGGAAAAAACATCATAAAATATGAATAAAACCAAAACACAAAGATTCCAATTGCAACAAAAAGAAAATCCACACCACATAAGGAAAACTTCACCACACCGCGCGCGCGCGCCGCGAGAGAGAGAGAGAGAGAGAGAGAGAGAGAGAGGAGAGAGAGAGAGAGAGAGAGAGAGAGAGAGAGAGAGAGAGAGAGAGAGAGAGAGAGAGAGAGAGAGAGAGAGAGAGAGAGAGAGAGAGAGAGACCAAGAAATGAACAATGAACAACATACACAAACAGATAACTTACCGTACTTCTAAGAGGAGGAAGAGATTTAGAAATGAATGAAGATGCTGAAGATTGGGACGTTCCAAGAAATGAATGAAGATGGTGAAGATTTTGCTATTGTTGTCGTCTGGTTTGCTAGGACACACCCTAGTGTGTTATGAAGGAAATAAAGAATATGTTATGTTTTAATTTTGTAGGAAATAATTTCACAATAATTGCAAATACCAACCGTAGTAAAATATGGAACATATAACCACAATTAATATAAAAACAATTGTAGTTAAAAAATTTCAATTTTTATTTAACAATACATGTTAAGGGACACACGCTTTTTTATTGAAAAATGTAAAAATATTGATGTTGGGATTTGAAGCTTGTAACTCTTAATCTATGACCACATTTGTTATTATGAAACGTAATAAAAAGTCTTTTAAAAAAATTATGCGCGTTAAAAATGAGATATTACTACAGTTGACAAAATTATCGAAGTAATTATGGTGTTACAGAATATATATTTTGTAGTAGTGAATACTTTGACATTTAAGTTGGTGACAACCTTAAGTATTATGTTTTTAGGTTAGAATTATGTGTACCATATATTGTTTAAATGTTTATCTTTTGTAGGAAGGTCCTGGGGTTTTCAAGGAGCCTACAACCTTTTGTTAGTACAATTGTCTCATAAGACAGATGTAATAGGATCTTTGTAAGTATGATATGACGACATCTAAGATCTTGTCTATTGTAATCAGGTATATTTCTGAAATACTTCTTCTTAGGATCACAATATACATTAACCTTCTTTGTTTTCATTTGTCTTGTAGGTTAGACGTTGATGAGTTCAGCTATGTAAACGATCCAACAATTATTAGGTGTTTGACTCGCCTCAATTTAATAAGAAGTTAAAGTGTGACCATTTTATGGACCCAAGTCTTTGTACCGTTTCTAGGGTGTGTTTATTCCTAACTATCTCTAGGATTGTTTAATGAATAAGACAATTTATTTAATTAATCTATTATCAAGCCTTATATCTTGTATTAAGATTGTTGGGCTTCAGCGAAACTGAAACATCAATACTACAAAAAGTGATTTTAAACATCGGACGCAAAATTCATTTTACCTCAGCTAAAGAAGCGAGGTAACGAAGGTCATCATGAAAAATTGCCACTTATCACCTTGGTATTTCAAAAACTGAGAGATAAATTTATTTGCACATGGATTCGAACTCCAGCTTCTGTATTTTTATTATTTACAAAACTAGCGTCTTAACCATCTCGATTAAACAATAAAACTGAGAAGTAAGTTAGATTGTTTTTTTTTATAATTTAAACACGTTATATTGTTTACCACATAAAAATTAATAAAATAATGTGTTTACAAACTATAATGTTTACCTAGAATATTACATTGTTACACAGAACAATAAAAATAAAAATTAATTTGTCCATGAAGATCATATGGTGGATCTTTAAATCCTTGATATCCTAGGGAATATCAAATGCTGAGTGCAAGTTTATTCTCAATGGCTTTTTCTTGCATTTGTTTCTGATATAAACAAAAAAAGGTTAGACAAAAAAGTGTTAGATAAAATAAATGATTTTCTCATGAAATAAATAATTAAGAACACAAACTTTAGTATCCAAATAACTTTCTGCTCTTGCAATCCATCATATATAACTCTTCGTAGCAAAAAAATCTTGCAAACCTTAAAGTGGAAGATAGTTTCAAGCGCTTCATGATGTTTCATTATCGATTTTTGATGTTCAAGATGCTTTTATAATAGAAGTTATTGATGTTTCACGCGGATCACTAATGATAGTGTCTTGAGCGTTGATAACCATGAATGGGACGGCAAGGATTTGAGTATAGAATGGTGATAAATATATTTAATTTTTAACACTAACTTATCCTCTCGGTTATTAAGAAAACCGACGTGATAGACCATTTAATTTATAAATAAAAATACCAATATTGTTTTTTCCCATCGGTTATGTTAAACTCCAAGATTAGGTGTTGTTTTAAAAAACAAAAATATGGTGCACATGCATTGGAATCATATCACTAGAATAGTAATAACCGTCTATATTCAAACTATAATGTATATTTTGGAATTTCAAGGGGGGGGGGGGGGGGGGGGGGGGGGGGGGGGGGGGGGGGGTTTGAGCTATTTAAACGTTTTAAATTCCAACTCTCTGTGTATTATTTTCTTGTTTATAAGTATTTTCATATTTTCAACGTTTCATTTTTAACTCTCTGTGTATTATTTTCTTGTTTCAAAGTCTTCTTTTTTTATAAAAAATGAATGTAAACCTTTTGTTCGTTATCAACAAAAAGTTCGCGGATTTCAATGATTCACATATGGTTTTGATCTAAGGAAAGTTGTTAACAAACAAAGGTTGAATGGTTACTTTCACATTCTAAAATATGGTCTCATCTACATTGATCTCGTTAAAGAGTTCTGGATGAATGTCTCTGTAGTGTCAGCTGGTGACGATGAAATCATCTAGTCTAGTGTCAATGACCTCATTTCTTCATTACTCCATCACTGATTGATATGACAATAGACTGTGAAGAATTTGGTAGTTGTGTTGAACATTACAGATTCAACAACGTCTATTCAACCCAGCTTCATTGAATCTATGCCAACAGAGATAAGCCCACCTGTCCTGCTTCTCTACTCCAAATTCCAAATTTTGTTTTAAACTTCTAGGCAAACCTCCGCCCAAGAGAGAAAAAACTATAAACGCTTACTTGGTATGACATGCATCTCTTGTTATTCCTTACATACAACATCATGATTAATCTTCATCTTATTATTTTTAACTTCTTAAAGGAAGTGATAAACAACTCTCGGGATGAAATGACTTTCCTCATACCATATGGAAGAGTTCTTTCTAAACTTTTCTCTAAGTTAGAGATAGTTAGGAATAATTTGAAGTTGAGTGCACGAGAAATTTGAATATGTGGAATAGTTAAAAATGACTTTCCTCATCTCTATTGTCTTATTTTTTTTATTATCAATGAAATATTTCCTTTTTATATTGTTGCATGTTCTTGTTTATTGATAACAAAGATTTTGAAAATCACTAATTATAACAAAGAGAAACATGAAATTTGGAAAGACGCCAAATGAGAAATTGTTGAAAAAAATATTAAATGCGGATAGAGGGATTCGAAGCGAGATCTCTTGTAACTATATTACCTCGATTTACTTTTCTTCTCTTTTTTTTTTTTGGATAAAATATGGCGCTCAGTTATAGTCATCTTCTCTAGAATTAAAGAAAACAGAAGAAAATGTTGTTTAATTTAAATAAAATAAATAAATAAAACATCACGCTCCCATTACCTATATCCTCATGTTTTCATTGTTCGACATGTAAACTTTATCATAAAAAATATTATTTGGTGTAGTACATATAATATTCGAAGATAAAAAGTCATTTGTCCATAACAAAACTCACCATATTATTATAGCTTTCTTATTTCATAAATTTAATGTAACCGGACAATCATTTATGTTTTCCTCATCCAGAAAATGTGGCAAGATGTCCTGATGAACTGTCAGAAGTGTCACATGAAAACCTAGCATTGTAAGATTAACAAATGAACTAAAATGTTAGTAATCTTGCTTATTTTTAACACATAAAACTACCTTGATTTGCAATTCAAAATGCTCAATCTCTTACATTTTATTCCAACATTGAACAGTGAACATCAATGTCATATGTCAGCAAAAAGAGCTGACCCAGATCTTTTATTATGTACTGGTAATTGGGTCCAGTCTTAGCAAGTTCAGGGCAGTGCACCATGTTAGCAGTGGTAGAAAAGACAGAACCTTTTTGGTATTTAGCAAAACTTTACAGTTACTGTGCTTCATTTTTCAACTTTATGGGCCTTAGCATCATAGAAATTGGACATCTTTACATGAGTAATGACATAATAAAATTTGAACCATGGTTTTCCTTTTGAATGATTAGAAGTAAAACTATTCACCAAGGTTTTAAGCATTTAACTAAGGCTAGATAATTTACTTTTTCATTATCAAGTTTTTTCTTATAAATTATTTTATCTATGGTTATGATAATAAAAATCACATTTTAGAAAAAAATAATCAGTTGTGACAAAAAGTAGATAATCAGTTGTAAAAACTCTAACAAGCATAGTGTGAATCTCTTTAAATGGTATGAAAAGGTAAATCCTAAGTCAACTCTTGGATCACACTACAATACAATATGTCAATAGGGCCTAATAATTCTACTATACACATTGTGCATCTAATTGATCTATGCATGGAAAAAAATCCTCAACTTCTAACCACATAGTACAACAAACTACTACAAAGACTTGAAAAAGATATTGGGGTTAAGTCATCAATAATTCATGGAAAAGTTAGGTGTGAACATAACAGATGTATTGGAATTCAACTAGCAATTTCTCTTTCTACATATCATGCATGGGAAAACACAAAGTAAACTTCAAGGATCCAACCAACTTTATACTTTACATAAGGTCAAAAAGATTCAATTTCCCAATTTTCCAAAAGCAGTTCTTTTGGAGACACCATTCACTTTCACTTATTTTGTTAATCACAATACTAATTACAGGTATAAATAGTGTGAGAAAGTTTTTTATTGATTAGAGAAAATATAATTGTTGGAAGATCTAACTAGCTAATAATGAAGAAGAAAGAAAAAAGTGTTACATCTGACAAGAAAAACACCATCATAACACAATCAGAGTAAGAAAAAGGAGGTAATGATGAAAACCTTTTGAGGAAGAGAAAGAGAAATAAAATTGGTCAAAATGCTTCATCATTACACCAATCTGCAAACTAGATACAAAAATCAAAACCCATGATTCAGATCTATCTATATTTAAGAAAAAAACAAAACTTTCATCCATATACAAAAATATAACAAAATTCATATTCCAATAAAAAGAGAAAGGTGAAACCAAACCTATATGAGAGAGTAGATGAATGGAAGCTTATAATTGAGGGGAATGAAGCCTGGTCCGAGAACACTTTACAATTCTTGATCAGAGATTTATAGATCGAGAAGAAAAAGTCCTCGAAGCAGACAACATTCCCCGCAAAATATAAAGCTTCTTGAATTTGATGAGAGAAATATGAATATGAAGTGTTTTTTCATTTACTTTGTGTTCTCTTTTAACTCATGAATCATCCCCCAAAAGTCTCGGCTAGCTTCAAGGGGGAGTGAAAGATAGAGAGAGAAGGGAATGAGTGGTAGTGGTGAATGAGAATGTGATATGAGAGAAGGGTTATAAAAAGAGTAAAAAATAAAAGGAGAAATGGGGAAAAGAAAAAATGAGAAAAAAGACAAAAAAAATATTGGTGCAGAGTAATTAG